TATGGGCCATAAGGAAGATCATGGAGCATAAGGAGTGTGTAGGGAGGGGGCTATTTTTGCTGGTATGTGGATCATGTGGTCAGAATGAAACGCCATGATTTGGGATATTACAATTTCCTTTACTGTCTTTTGGACTAAAGCCTATAATTAATTTAAGGGATGCCTGAATCTACTTACTTTTTGCTACAAAGTGATTTTTTCAAAAGTAAGTTTTGCTACAAAGTGATGCCTTTTCTTCTTTGGATAATGATTGATCAGTAATTTGCCTCGCGGATTTTCGCATTTTTTGTTGCATTTCTTGTTTCTTTGTTTTCTGTTGACGGATACCTCATAACTTTCCTCTTTTGCATAATCTCTTTCTCTTCAAGAAAATTCTTTTACGCAAAAAAATGACATCGTTGATTTTCTTATGAAAAGTTGAAATGGACCAACAATATCCACAATATTTCTTGAGCACAGAGCCTATAATGTCTTAATTTAACACCACATTTGATTCGATCCTCATTCCACTCCTAGTTAATTACTATTTTTAGTTTCTATATTAGACTTAATATGCATAGTTAAAACATGACTTTTTTATGTTTGAGCCAGCTAGCTACCTCACCTCTCCTTAAACTACTTTGGGAAGACATCCTACTTTCCGATGTAGGAACTGGAAACCCACTACCAAAGAATTCAAGGGGGGAATAGGACTAATTCAAACAAAAAAAAAAATCATATTTAATTCTATGTACCAAGACTGATGTGGAAACTAAATATAGGAATTAGCCAATAATGAAATAAGAATTTAACCAAATGGAGAGATAGTGTTCTTTCCTTTAGGATCATGATGCATAGTACTGAAGCTACTAAAAATGTATGTTTCATAGTCAAGCGTCAGTCCTTCCATCATTGGCTCTTAGGACAAACAATGAAGCACCAGCATAAACATACCTTGTAATAGCTATGCTCAGTCTGGTCACCAACTTTGTAAGACAGAGGATTGTCACTACAAAATGCAAGCTTTGCTGTTGACAAATATAAAACTCCCATAACTGGACCAGCTGATGTGGAGAGGTAGCATGCATAGGACTTCAGAAGTTTCTCCTCAGGAACAGTCTCAAAAGACTGTCGGAAGACATTTTCATAACCACCCTCTGCAAGAATCTTGGTTCCCTGAGCAATTCTTCCCAGGGCAGCATCAGCAACACTAGGGCCTGTTTTCACTGATTTAAAAAGAGTATCAGTAACTTTACTTAGACAGACAGCAAAAATGTAGGCCAAGAATATAGCTGGTGATGCAGAGGAGGCTTGGCTTGGATTTTCCACACAGATTGAAAATTATACTTCCTTCAAGTGGAGAATTATTGGATTTAGTTTATCCAAGTTATATCAATCTGAGAGTATTTTATTGACTTTCTAATTTTTTTTTCTCAAATAGTTTGGATAAGAAGTCTCAATTATTATAGTTTTTTTAAATTTTGTTGGCTTCTAGGAGTTATTTAAACTCTTTTTTCAATTTTCCTACTATGATTTCTAGTTCTCCTGGAAGTAGGGTGACATTAGAGTCTACGTATACTCTCCTGTAAAATCTCTCAAGCAAGATCCTACTCTATGAAAGAAGATTTCTCCTATAGAAGCTTATGCTTTTTGTGATTGTGTGATGCATAATCCGTGTTAAATCTAAGAAACCGATGTGATATCTAGGTTTCAGTACTGTTCACAGTACTGTTCACAGCTGACTATTCATAACCCAAAACAGTGCCATGATTCCAAAGTATCAGATTATCTCAGTTTCTCCTACATCAACTTGCCGATTGAGTCTATGAAGGTATGCAAACTAGTAGAATCGATTTAATTTCTTTACCTATTGTAGTACATAGGTTATCTACATCCAAAGAAAAATTGACAACCTGCATATTGGAGTTGAACAAGGGAAAGAAATGCTAGAGCCTGGAGAAGAAGATCATCTATTGGGGATGGAACAAATAATTTGGCTGATTATCATTTACATAAAAGAAATGGGCTAATGGAAGTTGTTAATAGGCATCTGGATAATCTTCATTTTTGTGCTCATGATCATGTTCGGAATTGGGGCCAATTCTTCCAACACACCTAATATTAGAGGTAAATGAAGCTGTTCTGTTTCAAGTGTGAATTGCCTGGTCACATAGGTGAGCCATGTCCAAGGAAAAAAAACGACTTGCATCTCAAGGTGGAAAAAGAAAAAGAGACGCTACAGGGAGAAGATATCAAATTTGGAACCCCACCCCACCAAAAAAAAAAACCCCAAACCAAATGTTATTAGAACTCAACTCATATAAACAACCAGCCAATTTGACCCTTAACAACCATTGTATTGCTTCCTAAATTACTTTTCTCTCACGTACACATAATAAACTCTCCAATCCACCAACTTTCTACCCTTAATCCACCCAAGAAAACTCCAAACCTGATCTTTTCAATCCTAAGCTTTATGGTGTCCTACTGATATAGGACAAGTAATGCTAGAATCAAGATTATCCTACAAAGTAGAGGAATAGAGAAAAATGTGGGGAAAAGAATAGAAGAATACAACTAGACCAGAGGAAATTACAGATCAAGGTGAGAAATGTAGGAAGAAGCACAATGAACATGATAGATTAGATAGAAGACAACAAAAAGAACAACCATAAAAGAGAGATGATAGGGGAAAAAAAACATCAATAAAGATATTCTTAATTCATTCTTCCTTTTTTTTCTGTTGGTAGCTGCTAGCCTTTAATAGGCATTAGTTCCAAAAAGAGGAAAATCTAAAATGTTATAGTTTCTATAATGTTTAAAGTTTACCTAAAAGGAAACTAAAATACTCTATGGCCTAAATAAATCTAAATAACTTAAAATACAACATAATAATAATTAGAAAAGGTTTCTTTAATAGAAAATTTATTCGAAACTAAGATATTCTTGCTCTGCATCACCTATATCTGGCACAAATCAAGCTGATTAATCTAACATTTAAAAAAAATAAATATTCATCCTTCATGATAAATAAACTAAAACTGCACTTATATAACCAAAAAAAATCAAGAAAAATCAAAGGTGGCAACAATAGTCTCATTGTTCCCAAAAATTTAGCATAGTTCAGGAAAGAAGCTGGGGAGAGCCATAACACATTCATCATGAACCTGGGAAATGACAAAATCCAAGGATACAGGTAACGTGAATCAAGCTCCTAAATCCTTAGGCCTAACCAGTCAATTGTTACTATCAAATTATCTCCACAACTCACCAATGAGGCCTCTGGTTAAGGATTTCAAAACTATCCACGCTAACAACTATCTTTCAGAGGTCAAAACCATCTTTCAAATCAAATAAAGATATATGCGAAAAAAGAAGAGCAAAAAGGTGCGAGAAGGAAAGTCCTTATCAAGAAAATGGGTAGAAAATAGAAGAGAAAAAGTTTGAAATCTGTAACTATGTCAGCTTTGAAAAGACCAACACATCAAATGAGTACTTAAATCTTAACATGTTTACCGTCACACTGTAACGCTAGAATAAGGTTTAATCGAGCTTCCTATAACTATGCTCCAATTGCTACTGAAATTCATAGAACCAAATCTTAAAGCCTAAAAACCTCGTTTCTTACACAAGCAACTCTGTTACCTGGATTAGAGCCTAACTATCTGTCGTTCTAACTAATAAGCCCATACCAAATTCTTGAAGGCCAAAAAAGAAGAGAAAGAACTCCACTGATACAAAGAAAACCGGCATCCTAAGAATGTTCAAGAACAGCTCAATTGGGCAATCACACACATAGCATCTAGAAAGAACAATGAAATTAAACATTACGCGCCAACCAGGCAAGCCAGATGACTCCATTGACACCAGAAACAAGTAGAGACCAAAAAGAAAGCAAGTAAAATACACTTACGGTGCTGCCACATATTTCCAGCGAGATCCTCTGCCTTCTTGGATGCGTCCGCCGCCTTCTTCCCCCATTTCCCCAACACATCCTTCACCGTATCCATCGTATCTGCTCAAAAACATGTGAATCGAAAAAGAAGAAAAGTCAGACATCTATAACAATCAAAATATAAAAACTTCAACATTAAAATGTGGAAGAAGAGTTTAAAGGAACTTACTCTTGGCGGAGGAGGACTGAACCGGAGCAGGTGTTACGTAAGGATTAGACTCGGGCGGCATGGTGGTGGCAGCAGCACCGGAGATTGTCGCTGGGCCACGATCTGAGGAGCCTGCGCAGACGGAGCTCCAATTCTGAGGAGGTGGAGCGACGTCGTTTAGTTCAAGCTTGGGGTACGGAGCGTAGTCCTCGGAGTGAGGAGCCCGGTGCTGGTCGGACTCCGTCCGTGGCTTTCCGGTGGTGATGGGATCAGCTTGTTGCTGGTTCATTTTCTCGGCGCGGATAGATTTAAGGGAACGGCCCTAGGAATTATCGGAGAGCTAAACGTGTTTTTAGCGGATTCCTTATTCTTCTTGTTGTGGTTGAGGGTTCTTGACCGATGATGCCTCAGGGACCTTCTAGAATCTCGGACGGTCAAATCGTCACTTCGGTTTACCTCCTCCGTCCTTCGAAAGGCTATTAATCATTTTAAACATTATTATATACTTTTTTCTTATTATTATAAACTTATTAAAAAAATAAATTACAATTACTAATTAATTTATAATATCAGTACAGTAATATAATAATTAAAATTATTATATTTTACTTAAAAATATTTTATTAAAAATCTAAAATTGGTTACTCATGTAGTATGATTACGCGATGATCCGTAATATTTAAACTCATTAAAATTAATGAAATCATTGATTCAAAAGTTAAAAGATACTTTATAAAAGACATATAATTTATAAAATAAAGTACATTAATATCGATACACAAATATTAGTCTAAAAACTCTATCCAATAAAAGAAGAAAAAGAAAAATTTGGACCGGTCCTAAACATCAATGATTGTTTGGGCTTGGACCTTTAAGAAATGTTTTTGAGCTTTTCCTAAGGGCCCATTTTTCGTCAACTTGGGAGGCCTATGCATACAAAAGTTTAATAATTATTATATTATTAGTAATTAACATTTATTATAATTTAATTTCTAATTTTTCATTAATAATTTAATCTTAATTTTTTTATTTTAATTATGTCATGTTTAAATATTTTTAAAAAATAATTCAAAAAATGATTTTAATTAAATTCATAACTTAATAACCATATTAATTATACTTTTATTATTATTGATTTATTAATTTAATTAATTAGTAAAAAATATTTATTTAATTATTTTGACTAATCACTTTAAGTTTTTTTTATCAATATATTAAATTAAATCAAGCATTTGAAATAAATAAATAAATAATATTATTAACCAAATTTTAATAATAAAATATTAAAAATCAATTTATAATAAATATCAAATTTGAAGAATTAATTTGATAATTTACTACTATTATTGCTACTTAGTATTTCATATGTAAAAAACATATATGACTATCACATGGTTTTATACGGGTAAATTAAAAAATTAAGTGCTTCTTATACATAAATGTGTGCCTATAGAAAATAATAATTCTTTATTTAATTTTTAGTGCTACATACATATATATATATATATATAGAATAAAGAAATAAACTAAAAGCTAAAGGACAGAGCACTTGAGAAATGTAAATGAGTACAACTATATATCTATATAGGGCTTCATAATTTGACTTGTATCTAAACTTTAAAAGCAATCAAGGAACACGTACAAAATCCATATTTGTAAGTTTTCACTTGCTAGTAATGGCTATACATGTTTGTGATTAATAATTGATCTTTTTTTTTTTTAAAGAAAGCTAATATTGCAAGTAATGTGAATGTAGAAACTAAATTTTTCTTAATGTGTAAATACACACGTTCATACTTTATAAAGTTGAAATTTGAGGTCTATTAAATTTATGTTTATTTTTATTATATTTAGGAATTAAAATATAAGTGATATATTAATAACCACCCGATCTCTTTAGTTTGTTTTTATGAAACTAAGGTCAAAAAAATTTTTAAAAAAATTAATCATTCACAATCACTAACAAATTGTTCATTAAATAGTTAAAGTGTAATGCCCCATCCTAAAGATGGAGCATTACCACCACCTATCATCCAATTTCTAGAACATCCTCAATCATGCAATAAACTACTATCATTAAATTCCTCAAAAGTAACAATCATCTCCTTTCGATTCAACATCTAGAGAGTGCATGGTTAATCTACATAATTCGATGTTACAACAACTATAATCTCAATGTTGATAAAGTATGTATACTCATGTATATCAAGCGAACATCCTATACTAGCATTTGTTTTTTCCTTAAATGTAACGACCCATAACTTAAAAGGAAATAAAATCATAAATTGAATGCGGAAGCGAAATAATAGAGTTAGGGTTTACATTTCTTATACAATAATTTAAAATACTCAATAGGACTATAAGAATGACATTTCTAAAAGAATAAACGAAAAATCAAAAAATAAATGGAAAGTAAACAACTGGGTATTCTATTCGCAACCCTCTTGTGGATCGGAATATGAATCTTGGTCCTCTTGATCTGAAATTGTTAATGAAAGAGTGAGCTACACTAGTCAAGTAAGAATGTCACACTACTCACCGACACATAAATGAAAGTTAGTAAAAATCATAAAAACAACTAATAGAGCTCTTGATTTAAGTAAATTCATTTATCATAAATGAAATCATTTATTACATACTTACTATAACGAGATTTTCAAAATCGATCGATTTATAAAGGCAATAACACAAATAACATCATAATCTCATTTTCAATTAGCTACGACAATAACTTTTCTTTTTTGTCTGCCTACTAGCATCCATGGAGATCCATAGGGATGTCTCCATTACGCATGAACTCTTATTCAACATTATCAACTAGCCGACCGTTCCCATACCCCATCCAGTATGAGTGCCAAAAATACCATTCCTCAATACCCCGTCCGGTATGAGGGTGAAACGGGCCATTCTCATACCCCGTCCGATTGAGCGCCAAAATATCAATTCTCGATACCCCGTCTGGTATGAGACAACATTCACGGTAGGGTTCTCTATTTACCCGGTCTGTCCACCATCTCTCAGAATATCCAATAAGGCTATCATTCATTCATTCACTTAATCAAGTAATTTTTCACTTACATTAATTTCAAATTTCACAATTTAATCGTAAATCACTTAAGATAAGCAATACATGCATTAAGAAAATACAACTAAATCATCTTACCAACTCCGGTGTATTATTATGCATTTAAAACTGTAAAATCAATCAATCAGTTAAAATAGGACAAACAGTAATAAATAACTAGTTCCGGCTCCATTAGTAACATGTAATTAATTATTAAAGTTTTCTAAATTTTACAAAATACCGTATTATTTATAATTAGAGTTAAATTTCATAATATAGAATAAGGTAAGGGATTTTTATACGAATCGGTGTTTGAAACACTAAATATTCAGCTGCGCCTACTAGCGGTCTCGGGTTCCCTGAATTTTCTTTCGGAGATTAAAACACGCCTCAAGTACCTAAAAATACCTTAAAGAACCCAAAATTGGTGTTAAAAACCTTTTTCAACCAATTTTAGAATTCTGGCACAGCAGCACCACAATGCTCCAGTGATGGCATCGCCATTCGAAGCGATGGTTTACCTCGGACTGGCCGTTTTCAGCCAGTTTTGGTCGATTTTGGCCGATTTTATACTCCTCCCTGTAAGAAAACATATTATGGGGCATCGGTTGGCCGAAAAAAGTTGAAAAACAATAACATACTAGCGGTAGGATTTTTCAGTGCGACAGCTCTGCCGGCTCACCATCACGGTTGAGTGTTTTTCTTCGGTCAACCTGTAAAAAATAGAATGGTAAATACAATCGTAAAAAATTGCACGAAACGAGAATCGAGAAGGGGGCTCATCGGATGCGATTTTTGGTTTTTTCCGCAGCAGCACCGTCGAGCTTTACCCACAGTTTTCGCCTCATCCGCCAATCATTTTGCTTCAATTTGGCCATGGGGATGTTCAAAATCAAATTTCAAGCGAATGAAGATTTTTTTATCTTTTTTGGCAATCGGAGGTGGCTCCAGTGCGGCGGCGGGCGTCGGTCGGCTCTCTTCTCCGGCGATTGGTTCTTATTCTCCAGCGGGGGCCTGGCGGCTAGGGTTAGGGTTTTGTGTGAAATGAGATATTTATACCCGTCTTCTTTTAATCTGAACCATTCATCACGTTTGATCTCGACCTCTTCGATCGCGTTTAAAGATGAAATGAATCTGTACCGTTCATCGCGATTTGATCTAAACCGTACGATCGTGTTTAAAGAGGAAATGAAACTGGATCGTTCATCGCATTTAATCGCGACCGTCTGATCGCGCCTAAGGAGGGAACGGATCCAGACCATCCAAGCGCGAAAACAAACCTGGACCATTCGATCGCGGACATACAAATTGTAACGGCTCCGGAATTTTAAAATGAAATATGTGTATTAAAAAGGTCAAATGCGGAAGCGTAATAAAATTTTTGATTAACATCCCTTACACTAAAACCAAAAACGTACTCAAAGTATAAAAGAACAAACTAACTAAAAGAGAAACTCGAAAATAAAAGCTATAAATATAACTACGGAGTCTTCAGGCGTCCCCTTCGCCGTCTTCCTGCGGAACGGGCTCAGGAACAATGTCTTCCTGATCTAAAATGATTAAATAAGGAATGAGCTACACCAGCCCAGTAAAGACATCACACTATCTCACCGTCACGGAGGTAAAGGTGGGTAGAAAATACAAAAAGACCAATAGAGCATATTTTACAACAAATTCTTTTATCAATAATAAAATCCTTTACTATCCACTTACCTCGGTGAAATTCATAAAACAATATACGAAAGCAATAACATTATCATCATCATGAAATCATATGAGCTGTATAACATAATACTTATCACGCCTTTTGCAATTCAATCATTACACAACATATTTTTCCTCATTTACCAGCCTACTAGTATCCATGGGGATCCATAGGGGTCCCGCTACCCGTGAATCCTTAACACTTGTAATCAGATTCCAGGGTCGTCCCCATACCCCGTCCGGTATGGGCGCCGAAACTATAAACCTCAATACCCCGTCCGGTATGAGGGTGAAACGGGCCGTCCCCATACCCCGTCCGGTATGGGCGCCAAAACATATAAGGTCTCCATACCTCGTCCGGTATGAGAGACCACAATCCCGGTAGGGTTTCCTACGGACCCGGTCCGTCCACCATCTCCCAGGATATATAGTCAGGCTGACCACATTATGCAATTATCAATTTACATAACCTTTCATTCCCTTTTTTTCCCAGTCAGCATCATCAATTCATACACAAACAAGCAAACCAGTAATTTATGCCAAACAAGACAACATACAACATCGGGTTTTCAGTCATTCAACCCATAATCAATAAAAACAGTAAAATATGCACACGAAACTATGAAATGAAAACATCAGACCTCATACTGCATTTAAAACTGTAAAATAGGCCAAACAACAGCTGACCGACAAATA